CCATCCCATCATCTCCCAACTATCCCATCATCTCCTGACCATCCCATTTCCCATCACCTCCTCATCATCCCATCACCTCCCAACTATCCCATCACCTCCTCACCATCCCATCATCTCCCAACTATCCCATCATCTCCTCACCATCTCATCACCTCCTCATCATCCCATCACCTCCTCACCATCCCATCATCTCCCAACTATCCCATCATCTCCCAACTATACCATCACCTCCTCACCATCCCATCATCTCCCAACCATCCCATCATCTCCTCACCATCCCATCATCTCCCAACTATCCCATCACCTCCTCACCATCCCATCATCTCCCTACTATCCCATCACCTCCTCACCATCCCATCATCTCCCAACTATCCCATCATCTCCTCACCATCTCATCACCTCCTCACCATCCCATCCCCTCCTCACCATCCCATCATTTCCCAACTATCCCATCACCTCCTCACCATCCCATCACCTCCTCACCATCCCATCACCTCCTCACCATCCCATCACCCCCCAGCTATCCAATCATCTCCCAACTATGGCTCTTGTCTCTGCAGAAGTACGTCTTCTACAAATGTCCGAAGGAAGTGAAGCCCCCGGAGGACTTGCAGGATCTAGGGGTGCGCTTCCTGCAGCCATTCGTCAATCTCCTGTCCAAGGGGACGTATTGGTGGATGAACACGTTCATTAAGACGGCGCACAAGAAGCCCATCGACCTGAAAGCAATTGGAAAGCTGCCCATCGCCATGAGGGCCGTGACTAATTACCTCCTGCTTAACGAGGCCTTCAAAGCACAAAAGGTTAGTAAATAGGGAGCAATGCTAACCACTGAGTCACAGGACCCATCATGGGGGGGGGGGTCACATGACCCATCACCAGGGGTAGTCACATGACCCATCACCAGTGGTGGACACATGACCCATCAACAGGGGTGGTCACATGACCCATCACCAGGGGTGGACACATGACCCATCAACAGGGGTGGTCACATGGCCCATCACCAGGGTTGGTCACATGACCCATCACCAGGGGTGCCACATGACCCATCACCAGGGGTGTCACATGACCCATCACCAGGGGTGTCACATGACCCATCACTAGGGGTGTCACATGACCCATCATTAGGGCTGTCACATGACCCATCATTGGGGGTGTCACATGACCCATCATTGGGGGTGCCACATGACTCATCATCAGGGGTGTCACATGACCCATCACCAGTGGTGTCACATGACCCATCACCAGGGCTGTCGCATGACCTATCATCGGGGGTGTCACATGACCCATCATCAGTGGTGTCACATGACCCATCATCAGTGGTGTCACATGACCCATCACCAGGGGTGTCACATGACCCATCATTAGGGCTGTCACATGACCCATCATCGGGGGTGTCACATGACCCAGCATCTGTGGTGTCACATGACCCATCATGAGGGCTGTCACATGACCCATCATTAGGGCTGTCACATGACCCATCATCAGGGGTGTCACATGAGCCATCATCGGGGGTGTCACATGAGCCATCATCAGTGGTGTCACATGACCCATAATCAGGGCTGTCTATTGCTGGCGGTACCCATCGTATTGTTGTGTGTGTTGCCCCCGCAGAGGAAGTCTTCTCCGTGTCCGGCGGGGGTGCGCTCCATCTGGTACGCGCTCTGTCACGCCTTCGGCCGCCCGCTTGTTCTCAGCAGCATCTTCCGCATCCTGGCCGACATGTTGGGATTTGCTGGTCCGCTCTGTGTGTCCGGGATCGTCCATCACCTGAGCCAAGAAAACGAGACCTTCCACCCGCGGGTAAGGGTCAGCACAGCCGGTGCTCAGTGTGCGTCTGCAGATTGTGCGTTATGGGCGCCAAAGATTCCTAAATATAAATCGGCTTCATCCCAAACTGGCTTCCTATTCCTGTGTGTGGTAACCGCCGGCAACCAATCAGAATCCACCTGAGATCAGAATGTGACGTTCATATGGGAGTGTCGGCGGTCAGATCGGTCCGATGATGAGCGGTGCATTGTGCGGTGTGTGTCGGTGACATCCGTAGGCCAGCAGGACGGGGTTCCCGGATCTCCCTGTATATGGCGGGTGTTTTGGGGTGACAGGTACTCTTTTGATGGGAGTGATGTCTGTGCAGCGTTTCCGTACGATGGTAAATTGTGCGTTGCTAAGCAACCAGCAGACCAGAGATGAGCTATAAACCTGTCAGTGTATAAAGCCGGAACCCTATCACCTCGGGGGCGCCATTTATCACCGTGACAACGCATGCCGCAGTGCGCCATCGATTTCCTGAGCTGGGGAATGAAGGTCGTTGACACCTAATCACGAAGTAATTTACGGCGTCATTATAACAAAGGCGACAACTTCCATCCGTCATCCGATATCCGAAGAGAGCCGGGGGGGTAGTTGTCTTAGTTGCCCTCCAGGGGTCCCTTTCTGCCTACACAGAGGGTAGATAAAGTGGAGAGGAGTTGGTTTAGAGAAGAGCATTGATATCCTCCTATGGGCCCCCGAGGGAGAGACGGGGCCACAGCTGGACACATGGAATTTCCCAGTTTTGGGTGTTCCCCTTAGGGGGTGCCGCTGTTCCTTCCCCAAGTCCCCAGAACAGCTGCTTTGAGAAGAGTCCCCTCATTGCTGGGATTGGTGGGCGGTGTATACCAAGCAGACGGCCCGCGCCATGTGTGTGGTGATTGGGTGCTGAATGGCGGCTCAAGTTCCTCTAGCAAACCTGCCACATGGGCCCCGTACCAGATGTGGGACCCAACCCTCCCAGGGACTGAACCTGGGGCCACATATACAATGGTGGCCCCTATAAAACTGTGGTCACATGCTCAGCCTAGGGCCAGCGCTGGGGGGGGGTGTCTTGGAGCCGGCAGGTTGAGGTTGGAGTTTCACCTCTCTGCCCCCTAAAAGCTCCCGCCAGGAACTAACAACCCAACCAGCAGGGGGCCCCGAGACTTCCCTAAGATAATGTCCCCCATGAGGTCCATCTATTCCCAGCACAACCTGTTAATTCCGGATCTCTGTCTGATCTCTGGCGGATCTCTGTCTGATCTCTGGCGGATCTCTGTCTGATCTCTGGCGGATCTCTGGAGGATCTCTGTCTGATCTCTGGAGGATCTCTGGAGGATCTCTGGAGGATCTCTGGAGGATCTCTGGAGGATCTCTGTCTGATGTCTGGAGGATCTCTGTCTGATCTCTGGAGAATCTCTGTCTGATCTCTGAAGGATCTCTGGAGGATCTCTGGAGGATCTCTGGCTGATCTCTGGAAGATCTCTGGCTGATCTCTGGCTGATCTCTGGAGGATCTCTGGAGGATCTCTGTCTGATCTCTGGAGGATCTCTGTCTGATCTTTGGAGGATCTCTGGAGGATCTCTGGCTGATCTCTGGAGGATCTCTGGAGGATCTCTGGCTGATCTCTGGCTGATCTCTGTCTGATCTCTGGAGGATCTCTTGCTGATCTCTGTCTGATCTCTGTCTGATCTCTGTCTGATCAATGGCGGATCTCTGGTGGATCTCTGGTGGATCTCTGGCGGGTCTCTGGCTGATCTCTGTCTGATCATTGGCGGATCTCTGGTGGATCTCTGGCGGGTCTCTGGCTGATCTCTGTCTGATCTCTGGCCGATCTCTGGCCGATCTCTGGCTGATCTCTGGCTGATCTCTGGTGGATCTCTGGAGGATCTCTGGAGGATCTCTGGCTGATCTCTGGCTGATCTCTGGAGGATCTCTGGCTGATCTCTGGAGGATCTCTGGCTGATCTCTGGCTGATCTCTCTCTCATCTCTGGAGGATCTCTGGCTGATCTCTGGCTGATCTCTGGCTGATCTCTGTCTGATCTCTGTCTGATCTCTGGAGGATCTCTGGAGGATCTCTGGTGGATCTCTGGTGAATGCCATAGGTGGAATGAGTGGAATGATGATCATGTCTGCCCTCCAGGTGTCGGAGTGATGAGTGGCACTGATTGGGATGTATTGTTGTTGTTCTATTAATTATCATTATTGTTGTGAATGATGACTATCTCTCCCCCCTCTATCCCCCCCTTCTCCT